AATAAGCGCATCTGACTTATTTTTCAGGAAATAAACGTGGACATATCTTGAATAATCGTCTATGAAGCTGATGAAATACATGGAACCACCTTCCGATTTCACTCTCATCGGGCCGCACAAGTCAGTGTGAATGATTTCTAATGGTTTCTTGCTATATACTTCTTTGTAACTTGTGAAAGGCTTTTTCTTTATTTTACACAATGCACAAATCTGACAACTAAAATTTGCGGGCTTATTCAGTTTGTAACAATTTTCAATCATTCCTTTGTTAAACAGCTTTATTACGCTATCGCAGTTCAAATGGCCAAACCTTTGATGCCACAGTTGTACTATGTTGCTCGACTTTTCACATACTTGCATCAACTTATTTGTTTTTCTAAATGTGATTTTTGCTATGTAAATATTATTATGAAGGAACGCCTCAAAAAGTAGTTTATTTTCTTTGCTCTTAATCGAAGCCTTTTTGTCTCGAAACTCTACTTTNTAACCGCATTGCCTTTTGGAGCAAACTTTGATCGACCGCCTCTCTTGTCCATCACGACAGCATTGCAGCCGAATATCCTCATATGACATACATTAGGCTTGCGACCGAACCANAATCTGATTTCAATGTCACATCACCAATAGCATGAACTTTTATCATCTCGCCCGTTGCAAGCATCACTTCTTCATTACATGCTCTCAATTTCACGAAGAAAAGCTTTTCGCAGCACATATGGCTTGATGCACCACTGTCTAGTATGAAATCGTTTCTCTGCTCGTTTCGCGATTGGCTTAAGCTTAAAACTACGCTGTTTTATTGCACTTTGTTTTTATTCTTATTCCTGCATTCGGAGCTTATATGACCTCGTGTTCCACACGTGTAGCATTTGACGTTTCTATGTTTAACGTAACCTCTAATGTTCCTGCCCGCTTTATCTTTTGACGAATTCACTGCCAATACACGCTCTGAATCGATATCATTTGGATGTTTATCTTGGTAATTGGCTGAACGCCGCTGCTCCTCCTCCAGAAGCTTTCGCTTTAGGGTATTCAACAATGGCAACTCGTCTCGAGCTTCAATGGCGACTACAAAATTATCCATTTCTTCTGGCAAAGAGCATAATAGTTGGATAGAAAGCAAGTCGTCTGGAATATTGATGTCCACCTTGCGGAGACTTTCAACGATGGAACAGGACATACCTTCCTCGCTGGACCACTGGCTTTGTACACATCCTGACATAAAGATAAATGACAATGTCAAAGAATATAATGAGTATGAATTAGGGCTGCATTTAGGAACGGTTAACAATCTTAATATCTATTAACTCCTAACACCAAACTCAAATTTTGGTCCACGTATCCTATTGCCAACTTATCTGGTTCTTCCCCTAAACGGAATCCAACCTATTAATTCATCACCGAAACTCAACTATCAGGGCTAAATTAAAAATTTACAACAAACCTCGCGCTGATAAATCAATTGATAGGTACGTCTTTATGTAATAGCGTACTTATTTGCACCTAATGTGCATGCACGATCCAGAAAATAAAGGTCGTGCCATTCGCGGACCGCTAACCCTCTCTTCGTCGATTTGACAGCATCCACCCAATCGCTGACGTCATAATATACTTTTGTTTACATTCACTGTTGCCAACTTGATGCTTTTCGCACCAAATTTAGTGGGTATTCAAAATGCGAAAATTTTTGAGTTTTTTGCTTCGTGCGTTTTTGGTGCTTTTGTTTTTAGTTTGAAGACTTCAAATTAGAAAATCTTACAAAAATGGAAGCAAAATTTATAGCAATCGTAAGTGTTCTAAGCAATTTTACAAAAATTTAAACAAAATCACGGCACAGTGGCAATCATAAGCGACTAGGAGATATGTGCAGCACCTTCAATCATGCCAGAAGAAATCGACCGTTGTGCAAGAAACATTGATTTTTATTAATTTGAATCGGCATCCTTACAATAAAATTATGTATTCGTATAAAGTCCATAAAATACACCAATAAAAGTTTGGTGCTTTTTCAAATTCAAAACTTGGCAATACTGCCTTTTGTTCGATGCTTCTTCTTTTTCTTGTCGAGTTCGTCTTGCTCTCTCATTCTGGTATATTTTGACGTCACGGCCAGTTGCTTTCAGCTCGATTGGAGCAATCTTGTATTCTATCATTCTTGATGTGCATGTACGTATGTAAATATATATATGAATATAGGTAAAATTCGCACTCAGCTTGGTCTCCAGAAATGATGGCGCCAGCACTCTGTTGAGAACCTATTTGGAGAATTAGAAACCTAACATACAATTATCCTAAGATTTACATACATACATGTGTTCGCCTTCAGCCGCGATGCTGAGACTTCGACCTACTATTCCCGTAGAAGTGTTATCACTCGCTCGTGTTTCGGGGCAACGAGCGGGTCATAAAACAAACGTGCAAATAATAAAAAACTAATCAGAATAGTCAAAAAATTAAGCAACGAAATTTAAGTTAGAGCAGAAATGAAATGAATTATGATATTAAACCAAATGAAATATTGGCCAAACACGCGGATATTAAAAACAAACTTTAGACAACTACGGCAAAATCCAAGTGTAACTATGTAGCAAAATACAGAGTGCATAAATTGAAAAAAAAAACTAATAAATATGAGTAGGTGGCGAAACGAAAAAGTGCTGAATTCAAAACAAAATTCTATAAATATCTGCCTATATATATGTATATCCATAAATAAAAAGGTGGATGAAATCAAATGAAAAAAGTTGTGTGATTATACCTAACGAAATGAGTAATTGTAAAAAAATCAAAAGTTACCAAAAACACTTCAGAAATTATTCTACGCTAAATACAAAGAAATAATGCAATTACTCAAAATTTTAGGTATGTGTAAGAGAAAAACAATTCTCCTAATCTATATGTATATATGCCCCTCTTACATGTGTACATATGTACAAAAACTACCATAAGATAACCCTAAAACAAAGCTGGAATTTTGCTCCGGGCGCTGCTGCTGATCGGTGGTGTATGCTTTGGTCAGTCTCCTCTGTTCTCCCTGGCTCCGCTCTGTAGACAATAGTGTCGCTGATTGTATGCTCCTCTCTATTTTTCTGCTCATCCGCTGTAATGCTCTTCTTCACTGTTCAACGGAATCCACACATATGTTCTGTGGCCGTTGACCTGTAGAGGCCGGATTAGCTGAAACAGCTGTCCCTGACGACGTTGTTATTATTGGCGGTATCCCTTAGCCGTGTAAGCAGCGCTGGCTTAAAGCTTAACTATAGGCCTCTAGAGTCTAGACCTGATTTGGCTCTTTCAAGTGCACTTATGTATTTATACCGAAGTACGTATGTATGTCGGTGTAAACGCTCGCTATTTGTTGTTGCGCGTGGATGCGTGCTGTAGGGGGTTATATGGCGCAGGTGGATGTAGCCATTTACTTGTAGACATACATATGGGAGTCAGCTTTTTATGTATCTCATAAATTGTCACCCGTGCTTGGCCCTTTGGCTGTCTCAGCAGGCGACCTGCAATTAATAAAACTAAATTTCAATGGGCATTCATATACCTATATACGTCAATTCGAATGTATTTGTTCCTATGGTTGATTTTTACATAATTTTTGCACAAAATTAGCCCTCATATCGCCCCCCGTCTTCAAAAGATACACAACTCAAAATTATCGTTCGTCAGAAAATGCGACAAACTTTTTCTTAGCACATACTAATCATATGGGAAAGGAAGACTTTTCCTTAGGTTTTTTTCAACAAATCATACCAAAGATTTACTCCAGCTTTTGTTGAAAGGTACATAAAAGCTCTGCGTACATTTTTAGTGCATAATTTCAAAAATACTAAATTATGAGTTGTGTAACCTTTGAAGACCGTGTCCGATATGTACCTAGGTGTATACAGGTACATGTAAGTCAAGGTGTCAAATATGCAATGTAGGACTTACCTCCAGATCCAGGTTGCGGTTTTGGTGGCTAGGCTTCTTATAGAGCCCTTGGTTACCGTATTCACCAAGCGTTATTACGCCTTTAGGACTATTAAAATCAAAACAGTTAACTAAGCTCATATAACTTTTGATATTCGCGCTTTAACCTTCTATTGAACTTTAGGTTTCACTGATAAATTCAACACCGCAACTTTCGCTTATTTGAAACCGTTTTCCTAATTTGGGTCCTTTTATATCTTTCTTCCTTGCCAAATGACCGATTCCATAATAATACGCATATATTTCTTTATTTATGTACAATGAATAAATAAGAGCACGATTTAAGCCGAACATTCACACATACACACACACCTCAAGACTGTTTCACCGAACCCCGAGTCTAGCGAACTTTCTCACTCTAACGTACTTTCATTTGGGCATCATGCTTGGGGTTAACATAGAGGTTTGATCGGCTTACAGACATGCAGGTTTGATCGAGTTCGCACGTATACACACAAGTTAACATAAACGTATCTAGCAAGCAGCTGGTGCCACATATTCTCTCAAAAAAATTAAAGCTTTTGTACACGCCCTTTCATTTGATATCTCATTTTGTAATCCAACGAACCGTGAAAATCGTTTAACTTTTTATTAGGTGGCAACCCTACCTACTACTCTTTGTTTGACAGCGACAGTAGAAACTGATTCCTATGCTCAGTATGTTAGTAGTTAGTGTTTTTCTAGAGGCCAATCCATTTCACTTGACGCCTCATCTTTTGTAATCCAACGAATGGTGCGGATCTTATAGTTTCTTATATAGAAATAAAAAAGGTCACTCCTATCGATACAGAGTATATGTATTAGAGAAAATCTTGTCAAAAGCCGTTCAGTAGTTTTCGAAATTACCACGTACAAAGAATCTCGACTTTCCTTTATACTATGTATAGATTTATTATTTTTTTCCACGACAATTTTTCAATTAAAACGGCCTCAAGCTCAATAAAACTTGTTTAATAATGTATAATAGTTACGTCTACTGATTTATTCTCGTTTTAAGTCTAAATATTTTAATAATTTCTTTGCAGTATTTTGTTTCATCATGAAGAGAGGAAACATTGATTTAAGTAACGAACTGCCCATAAACGTTATTTCGAGTGTAATGAACTGCATATCATCATCGAATAATTTTCGCTGGTCACCTGAAAGTAACGATAATTTATCTACACCATATAGAGGAATCATGAGCAGCAAACAAATAATTAGTCCTGAAATACTTTCTTTGGCTCCTCCGCTGATGGACTTTGAAGATGAACTGATTTGGTTTGATAATGTAGGGAAGCGCAATGATAACATATTTTATGATAACTCCAATTGTATTGATGAATACTCTAAACAACTTGTATCTATGGCTTTCCATCAGCCCTTGACACCGCACGAACAAAAAACTTTGTTGGAAGAGGTCTCGAAGCACAGGAATTTTGTATATCAAATAGGATTAACTCCATCAAAGGTATATCACATCCTTATTTGTATGTATATGTATTTATATTAAGTCTATTCATCCAAACGTGTAAAGCAGAATTACTGGGCTGCCACAATACATGTTTGACTTTGATACCAAAACCAATATAACACCAACTAGTAATAATCCCCGAAAATCGGGGTGCTCGTGGTCTAAAAATCTGGATATTTTTTTATTCTAAAAAACACGTGCATTGCTTTTGGTATTTATCTTTAACTTTGGTATTTTGCCAAGATCATATTTACGGACGCTACAATAATTTTGAATTGGCGACGTTTAAATACAAACGGAAGTGTTGATTCACTGGACTATGGATGTTGCGAATGTGGAATTTTAGACATCCGCGGATACGAATGCCGATGCGGATGTCAAGTATTTTTACAACGCTTTTATCAACTTGCAATGTTGTGTGTCCAGAGACCATTCATTGCTATAAAACTGGTGTTCTGAACTAAAATTTCTGTGCCTAATAATAGCACGGGCATGATGAGAGATTTGTAGAGCGTGACTTTCGTTCGTCGAGAGAGGCCTCTGCTTTTCAATTGCCTACCGAGCCCAAAGTATTCTTCGCTTGATCTCCAGGCTGACGTTGTTGGTGGTGTTTATGCGGGATCCTAGGTAGACAAAGTCCTTCACTACTTCAATGTTATATCTGCAAACAATGATTTGTGTCCCGAAACGCGTGGACTTTATATGTTGCCAGGAGGTACTTTGTCTTGCCCTCGTTCACCGCTAGACTAACCTCCTTAGCTTCTTTTTCTAAACTGGAAAATGCTGCGGTTACGTCCCTTTGTCTCAGTCCCACGATATCGATATCATCTGCAAACGCCAGCAGCATCGTTCTTTTGATATATAAATATGGTGCCACTGCGATTCAGATTGGAAGCTTGGCAGCCATACATACAATGGTCAAACAATTATAGCCAAACCACTTTTTGCCAAGTTTTAACGCATTATTTTTGTTGTTATTGAACTTTTGTTATTTTTTTTATAAAAATATAGTTCATTCTTTAACAAAATCCGTGTAAATCAAAGTTTCCAAATTTGTGTAACATTAAAAAAAATCAACAAACTTTCGTACAAATTTCGAACATTTTAAAAATTCTAAAAAATCAATAGAAATTTTTAGCCATTTGAAACTTGTACTTTATTCTACTAGAATTCAAAGAGCTATAGAACTGCATTCTTAGAATTTAATTAAAAACTCGAAATTTTAACGAAAATTTGTATTTTTTTTTTTTAATTGCATAAATATGTAAGGCAGTGTCACTCAATTGGTACATTTGTACAGATTTGTACATTTTTATACTGGGCTGGTGTTAAAAAAAATGATACTTTTTTTTTTGTAGTCAAAAGATTGGTACAATACAGCGATGTTCTATTGAAAAATTTCAACAAATTAATTTTTGTGATTGGGATAAAGAACTATACTTTGGGTGTTTACACAATTGGGATACTATTTGCACGAAATACCCAATCGTGTGACACTGCCTTTAAACTTGTATTTTTACGGATGTTTTTAAAGAATTAACTATAAAAAACCTACCGAAGTTAAATAACGGCAAAAATAAGATTTAAAGCTTGTGAAGATTTGGTGCTGCTATAATTTGTTCGACTACTGTACATAAGTTGACTATGCCCTGTAGGGAAAATCTCTAGTTCCGAACTGGTGCGCTTTACATTTAGACCCAGAACTGGGGCTCTATTCTGTAACTGTGAGTTTTCAAGTGTACACTGAAAATTGTTCGCACTCTTCATTTTGCGATTCAGGAAGAGAATGAGTTGCATCTCTTTTTCGATAGTTCCGAACTAGTCCTAAATTCTTTAGTTCCGAACCGGTTCTAAAATCGACAGACGAAAGAAAAAAGTATCATGATTTTTCAACCTTTACCGTTTTTCCGTGTGCGATTTTAAGTTATTTCGAAAGAAATTTGTTTTCAATTTGAAATTAAATTTGTTTGAATGATTGTAAGAAATATACGTTTACATACCTTTGGCTGTAACTGACTTTGAAGAGGTGCTCGCTGTTATTGGTTAGATTCCAGACGGTCCCAAGATGTTAAAATGTTAACACTAACTTTTGTTTTGTATTACCAAACTATGAAAAAGCATCTGCGAAGTGCAGAATGAAAGTGCATTTGAACGAAAAAGCCGCCAAACACATATATATGTAAAGTAAACCAGCCCCCGCTGCAACCCTTTTTCGATAGTTCCGAACTAGTTCTAAATTCGACATATAAGATCTAGTTCGTACTGCATCCTTTTGTCTATAATTCCGAATCAGTTCTAAATTTGTCACTTTAGATATAGATTACTAATGAAAAAAGTGAAATAAAATAGTTTTTTTAATTAAGAGTACCACCTTTCGCTGATTTTGAACTGGTGGGCATATAGTAACTATCGGACTGGTTCGTTTTTGGCGATAAAGATCTTGTACGGAACTAGAAATTTAATTCACTAGTTGTTTGTTTGTGTGAAGTAATATTCCACAAACAAAATACATGAGGAACAAGTAAGAAAGTCTAAGTTCGGGCGGAGTCGAACATTAATTACCCGGCGCAAGAATTAAATATATGTTTTTTCACCTTTCCGAAACCTACCGCTAGATGGTAAGCCGGGGTGTATCAATTTTGAGTAAATTAGCGTTTTTAAATTTCGAAACATATATTGAAGTGTCAAGCATTTCTGAAATTTACCGTTATATGAAAAGCGGCCGTAATTTTAGTCCGATTTCAATAATTTTCAANACCGTTTTTCCGTGTGCGATTTTAAGTTATTTCGAAAGAAATTTGTTTTCAATTTGAAATTAAATTTGTTTGAATGATTGTAAGAAATATACGTTTACATACCTTTGGCTGTAACTGACTTTGAAGAGGTGCTCGCTGTTATTGGTTAGATTCCAGACGGTCCCAAGATGTTAAAATGTTAACACTAACTTTTGTTTTGTATTACCAAACTATGAAAAAGCATCTGCGAAGTGCAGAATGAAAGTGCATTTGAACGAAAAAGCCGCCAAACACATATATATGTAAAGTAAANTCCAAAAATTTATTTTATTCTTATTTTTCGTCTGAAAATTATTGTAAATATCAATTTTGAGCGAATTATCTTCAGTAGTTACTAAAATACCGCAGTTTTCGTATTTCTGAAAAATACTGTTATATGTTTACAGTCCGATTTCGCCCATTTTCAATACCAACGGAAACCTACACACCAAATTTCGTTGAGATATCTCAATTTTTGCTCGAGTTATCGTCTACACGGACGGACGGACAGACAGACATGGCTTAATCGACTTCTCTATTCATTCTGAGCATTTATGTATACATTTGTTTATATCTATCTCGATTCGTTTTGGCTGTTACAAACAACCATTATGTGAACAAAATTAATATACCCTTGTGCACAAGTGCGCTCGGGTATAAAAATTACCGAACACCAAGTTACTGAGTACAAATTTGTATGCTCAGAATTTAAAATTCAGTACAAATCAGTACAAATTTAAAAAAATCAGGACATTAGCGTACTGATTGAAGAAATGAATAAAATCGGTACGAGAGCTGAAAAATCAGTACTGTACTGATAAAATCAAATATCGGATGTATCCTCCTGACTTTCATGTTCACTTGAAGAACGTGTCATCATGGCAAGATCGTTGTTTAAACACCCCTTACAAGCCAAACGAGATGTGTTAGGTTTTTCTAAAGCTTTTTTTCTTCATTCTCATTCTTTTGGCTGTTTTATAATTTGGAGAACCTGTAGCGTCATCAGCGTTTTCCGATTCTAGTTTTTGTAATTCATTTTTAACACTCTCTTCTGTGACTGGTTTGAAAAATTCGTGCTTATAGAGAGGTTCTAATAGGTGGATATGGTAAATAAATTGTTATTTTCCAGGAATGAAAATTTCGATCCAAATTCTGTTTTCAATCTCGATGATGCCATCGGATCAGAGTCTTTTTAAATTGGTAAAAAGGCACCCCGTTTTTTATAAGCATTTGAAGTATTAGAATCATGGATTATGAAGGTCTCCGAGCTGCTTAGTTCCCGGGCAGCTTCTTGAAAAGGTTCACCTATAATGAATAGCTTGTAATTAGTTTTCTTTTTTGGTGAGCTCAACTTTTCTTAGTTGCAAGCAGTTCCAATTAATTACTCACCGCTGCACAGTGCTTCCCTTCCATATAAAATGTGGGCAAAAATAGAATTATGGACGGATTTAAATGAAAATTCGCTTCTAAGTAAAATTGAGAACGCTAAATTCAAAAATGCAATTGGTTTTTGGATAACTTTCATACTTTCACTGTAAATGCGGTTTGAAGTTGAAAATTTGGGTTCTTGTGGCTTTTACATAGGTATGTACATATAGTTCGTTTTATTTTCAAAACTGAGGTGTCAAATGACAGGGCTTGGCCTGTAGATATGCACTAATGTTTTTCATTTTATTAAAATTATTTAACAGAATAAATGAATTAGATATTACAATATGGGTATCAATTGAACTAGTTTTGAAAATACTTTACCTCTAAATGACACGTAGAAGGGGTGCCACATGTTTTAGAAATCAAATTCTCTTTAATTAAGGGAATAAGATAACTGAAATATGTATATAAATATGAGTATCAGACAAATGAAAAAATTTTACATATTTAGCAAGTTAGTTTAAAAGTCCAGTAATTTAAAAGGAATGTAATCAGAACAAATCACTAATCGACAATGTATGCATTTGTAATAAAACAACAATTACGATGGCGTAATCCTATGGTTTGACGTAATTATTATTTTAGTTTAACTAAATTCGACTTTACAAACAGGTTGCAACCGTATTCGTAATATTTTTAAGTTAAAACCTTGTTAAACCTCTTTCGTCTGACTCCTTTATGGTGATGCCTATCTATTTCAATTACCTTATTCCTTTAATTCGAAAGGAATTTGATTTTTTAAACAGGTGGCAACTCTCTATATGTAGTTAATACACATTTCGATTAATACCT